AGGGCCGGGCCGGGCGCGGATCCTCCGCCGTGTCGCTGTCCCGGGGCAGGGTCGATGCCGGGCCTATGACGGCAGAGCGGCTCTGTCCTCTTCTGAGGGCTCCATCCACCTCTGCCGAGCACGACCAGAGGCCTCACAAGTGCTGTTACCAGTACTCTCGTTTCACACCTTGCTGTCAGGTGTGATGTCTCCAGCTGACAGCAAAGCTAATGCTCCTTGTTATCTCTTCCTCTCACTCCACTTTCTTCTCTCCCTGGTTTCTTTGTTCTACTGAGGGTGTTTAGCAAGACTGCAGAAGCACTGGGGCATTTTGGGGGTTGGGAGTGTCGATCCTCAACAGCACATCTCAGCTGCTCATTGGTTCAGTTGTGTTACTCTGAGTATTTGTGTTCATGCTGCGGTGGAACTCTGACCTGGCCTAAGTGCTGGGCAGGTGTGTAAGGAGGAGCTGCAGGTCTGCGACTCAGGTGTCCCTCAAGCTTAGGCTCTAAGCACAGTGCAGGTGCTCCCTCGGTGGGGGTGGATGCCTGAAGGGATCAGTGAGCTCTGGACTGTGCAGCTCTGACAGCCCCATCTGCCTCCCCGTGCAGATTGACAGGCAGCAGTTTGAAGAGACTGTCCGAACACTGAACAACCTCTATGCAGAAGCTGAGAAACTCGGGGGCCAGTCCTATCTGGAGGGCTGTCTCGCCTGCCTGACTGCCTACACCATCTTCCTGTGCATGGAGACACACTACGAAAAGGTCTGTGTCTGCTTCAGCCTGCAGGCAAAGGCTTGGCTCATGCTAGGCTCCCTGTGACTTCACTGTGGTGGCACAGATTCTGCCTGGGGGTGTCCCACACCTCAGGTGTGTGGGTCCTGGTTGGCCCAGGGCCTGGGTCCCATTCGGCCCAGGTCCTGCATCCTGGATCCCGCTCATCGGAAAAGGAAACCTGAGGAAGTACCCGTAACTCCTCTGCTGTTCTGTTTCCAGGTTCTAAAGAAAATTGCCAAGTTCATTCAGGAACAGAACGAGAAGATCTATGCTCCTCAGGGCCTTCTGCTGACAGACCCCATTGAAAGAGGACTGAGAGTTGTATCCTTCCGTGGCTTCTGACATTGTCTGCTGGTCTGTGCTCCATGTTTGTCTCTGTGTGGCACCTGTTCATGCTTGATTCGTGATACAGAGGAATCTGTGATTAGTCTTGTTGCTCTTCATTGTGTCCTATTCTCTAGTCAGGCTTTAGTATGTTAAGGTTTGGCACCTGGAAAGACAGTGGTAGAACCCAACCTTTGAGACTGCCTGGAGAAAACAGCCTGTGTAGCCAGAGCACTTGAGATACATCCTTTATTCCAGAACTGTTGTCTGTCTGATTGAGGAAAGAAGTGCCCAGCTTGTTAGGACAGAAATGCAAGTTGGGAAAGCAAGAGCTGGTTATAACTCCATTTGCAATGCCCAGCTCAGCTTCTGGTGAAGATTTTGCCATATGACATCACTGTGAGTTGATACCAGCCCAGCACTTGCTCTTGCCTGAAGCCACAGCAATGTTGAGCCCAATGCCAGTTAAATGCAGGGTAAGGCTAATTAGTTGCAGTTGGGTTTTCTGTGTTTGTCTGAGTAGCTCATAGCTGTCACCTGTAGGACTCCGTTGTTCTCAGTGTGTTTTCCATGTTTTCTGTACATGCACCTCCTGGGGAAAAACCCATTCAACTTGAGTAAAAGCATTTTCAGTTTGGTAAGTGACTTAGCACTGTTAACGTTTGCCTGGTGCACAGCCTTCCCTGACAGTTAGCAGAAGGTGACAAGGCTCAAACCCCTCTGTACGCAGTGCCCTGGGTTGGGGCTGCTGCTCTGAACTGACAGGGCTCACATGGACTGTTCCCTTTGCTTTATAGCTCTTCAGACCTGCTGTAAAACCTCAGGGATGAAGCAAAGAAATCACAGGTTCCAAGATCCTCATGTTTTTCCACCTTTTTTTGGATGATGTTTCTGTCGTCTTTTAAGAGTATTTTTCCCTAACAGTTTTTCTGTGCAGATTGAAATCACCATTTACGAAGACAGAGGTTTGACCAGCGGAAGATAAAACTGGAGTCTCAGGTACCTGTTAACCTCATCCCAGAGCAATCTCAACCTCTTTCCTGTGCTTAGAGAGGTGGATGCTCTCAGGCTGAGGTGGCTTATCCCACCCTGTGTGTAATCACAGCCTGTTCACATAAATCCCATGTGGACTAGCTCCTCTGGGAAGTAGAAATGCCAGTACTGGGCATGATGTCACTGATGTTAATACGGGTCACATGACATGAGATTTACCTTGGAGAAATTTGGGTCTGGATTGTGTCAATATTCCTAGCCCTAACCTGTGCTGCATTGTGTCCAGGATTGTTCTCTGGTCTGTAGACAATAGACTGTTCCTGGGCATGTTCTAGCATACAAAGCCTTTCTGTGGCAGTTTTTCAGCTGGCTGCTGCTGCCGCGCTCACTTTGGTGTCTTCCCCTGTGATGCTGTTGGGTAAGAAGGACCAGCAGCTCTCAATGGAAGCTCTGCTCAGAGTCACTTGGTTCTCCTGGTGCTGTGGGGCAGAGTCACACAGTGAAGAGTACTCAGTACATGGAAGGGAGAGGCCAAGATACAGGCTTGTGCTGAATGCATCCAATATGGAACATCAAAACCAATCCCTGGCTTTGCTTTTGGAATGCTCAAATTGGAACTGGCTCCCTTGTCTGAGGTGCTCTGCAGGTCTTGGGATGGCAGTATGAAGTCTGGGTTGTTGGCAGTGTGTGCAGAAATGAGGTGGGAAATATTTTTCCATTATGCAGGAAAGAACAAAGAATATATGTCTATTTCCTGTTGGACAAGTGAAATCCAGAGCCGTGGGTTGAGCTCATGCTGCTCACCGTAGCATGTTGGTAACTTGCTCACCACAGGACATGGCATCACCTCCTGAGATAACAAGCTGTGGCTGTGGAAGGGCTTGTGTAGAGGCCGTTGGTTTGCTGTACTAAGAGTTCCTAATCATAGGAAACTTCTTTTCTAGCTGACAGCTCACTGGTGGACTTGCTGCACCAAGGTTCCCCTACCTCCTACTTTAGAGCATCATTCCTTTCTCTGCTGCCAGATCCACGGTGCCATCTACTACAAGGACTAACTTCCTCAAACTGCTCCCCAGGGGTGACCTAGCTGTTCAGCAACCATTTTGCAGTGAATTTTGAAGCAATGAGATCAGTTTTTAATTTTGTTTTTAGTTCTATTTTCTCTCAAGAAAAAGCGGAAGAGGTAAAGCTTCATTCCCTCCTGAAAGCAACAGGCCCTCAGCCTCACAGAGGTCTAGGTTTAGCACTCTAAGGGCAGTGCTCTTCCTCCCTGGCTCTCAGATCCTTCTGTACTTGAATCAGGCTTTGGAAAGCTACAGCTCCAGTTCAGAGTTGGACTGTGAAGATACACAGTGCCTCTGCCCAGTGAGAAGTGACTCAGGGCAATGTCTCTTGTGCTGATTCTTGTGGAAAACCGGAAGGCAAAGTGCTGCTGGTGTTAATGTTTGGGTTGTCCCTAGATGGGGAGGAGTAGCCAGACTTTAACCCTGGTGTGTGTCTGTGCTGTTGTGGCCCCTGTCAGTGCTCACCAAACTCGTGGCCTGTTCGGTTATGGAACAGTGAGTACAGTAAAATGGATGCTGAGCCAATAAACAGAACAATTCCTACCCTACTCTGATTAAGATGTGAAGTGTAAAACTGTCTCTGTATGGGTTTGTTATATATAATTTATAGGAAAACATTGATTTGACAAACTTTAATGTTGTGTTAGGTGGTTTCTTGGTTCTGTCTGCACACACTGAGGAGCAGAACTGCATTCCTTGGTGTCCCTGTGCATTGACACTGCTCAGCAGTCCCTGCACGAGTGAGGCTCCCACAGTCCAAGCTGGCTTAGTCCTTTCCCTGTTATCCTTTTCCTTATGGAAGCCCAGAGGTCCTGTTTTGGGTGCTGTGCTGCAGGTGCTAACGTGGATCTGAAACTCCAGGCTTGTGACTCGGCCACTGGTGGGCGTTTTTTGAGATTTGTTTAATATTCTCATTGTATACAACTTGTTTTTTCTAAACTGTAACAGTGTTTGCCTTTCACATCGGTTGCAATATTGGCAAAAGTACTAACGGATTAGTAAATCTTTTCTTACACCACGTTTGTGCCGTGTTTGGGGGCTCCTTGTGCGGGAGGTGGCGCTTAGGGGTCGGTCATTTGGGGTCGGTCCCGAGGGCATCGGGCACTGGGGGTCGCTCCCCGAGAGGATCCGTCATTGCGGCTCGGTCCCGGGGGTATCGGTCATTGAGCAGTCGGTCCCG